TGCTCTCCCTCCAGCCCTTGTGACCATCACCCTCTCTGACACTGAATTAAAGACAGAAGCGATCATGAGGCTCCCTTCACCTCAGATCTGAGCCCGACACTCCTCTGGAGTCTGAATCATCAGAGGATTGATCAGAGTATGGTGTAAAATAGTAAACAAAAGCAATTCCAAAATTATAAGTGATCAGAAGGAGAGAAATGTTCATTTCCTGCCGTTACCTGCCGGGTAATGTTGTCGTCTTCTGACTTGTGCTCGAGCGGCTGTGATTTGTCAAGGTGATGAGCTGATTGTCAAAACAGTTGATGAATGAATTATGAATCTAACTATGTGGTTTTTATGTCATTTAGCAAAAGGGAGAATATCAGTTTGAGTATTTACACGTGTAGGTAATTCATATCTAGATGCCAGAGGCTCCATTTGCATCGATCGCCTACCATCATTGATTGAGCTTCCATAAAACAGATCACTTTCACTCGTGGCAGGTTTGTCATTTGTCTGTTGGTCTTCATGTTTTTATTGTTGAGCCTTTCATCAGGTATGTCAACAAAATGTGTGCAGACAACTAGAATAGCTTCTGTCACATCCGCAACATCCAGAATGTGGAATAACATCAAAGCTTTCCTCCAGTAAGTGGTTACATAGGGACTATACCTGCAGGGCTGGCACATGACGTCACATGCTGTCTGATGTAAACAGGCCGGGGTCAGTGAAGTGCAACGTCCCTCCAAGCATAAAAAGAAAAATGCCAATAAATTGCTAAATTTCAGTTTGTCAGATGTTAAGATTTGATGTTTACTTTATTGTACATGATGGTGAACTAAATATACTATACACTATACCTATCTGTGTTTGTTGATCTGTCTGTTAGTCAGCCGGATCATTTTCAGGATCTTTGACATTTTCGTTGATTTCTCAGAAAGTAATTCATAGATCAACACAAATCTAGACGTGCACAGATGTCAAATTAATTATATTTTCATAGAATCTTCTCACAGTGAAAGGTTGTTGTAATATCAGGTGGGGTTGTGTTCTCTAATAGTGTCTCTAATAGGCAGAGCAGCAGCTTTAGAAAAGTGTCCCTAGAGGTCAGAAGATGAATACAAATGTTTGTGGGAAAATATCAGATACGTGAATATGAGCAATTCCAGGCTTCAGCATTCTCAAAGGACGCTCTCAGTTTCACACCAGCGACTCAGGAATAAGCTGCTGGTCTCTATTCTTCCCTGCACACAGCAGCCCTGCACTTTCAATTTCATACTGATGCAGACAGAGAGAGCCTTCACATCAAGCTGCTCTGAGCTTTTTATACGTTCTGTAATGGGCATTACAGTAAAACAGATGCCCTCAGTCCGCTGTGTTCGTGTACCGCTGATGACGCAGCCTCTGACAAGTAAAGCAGAAGCCACTGCACTGCATTGCTCAAGATTGGTCCAAGGATTTCATTTCTAAAAAGGACCACTAAAGTGATGTGGCAAGTCAATTTGACAATCATGAGACTCCTGATAAAGAAAGCCTGCAGAGAGAGACTCCAGTGAAGTGAGGGAATGGGGGAACTGGCTCTAAAGAAAAGCAGCCGACCATGAAATGTTCAACCTTTACACTTGAGAGATGGTAGGAGACGGTGAGAGCAGGACGGAAAAAAGCGTCATCAGCGCGAGGGAGTTGCATTCTGTGGCAGCACCATTTCATCATGTGTAACCAAACTATAGAATCCTACACTTCCTCCTTTCCTTTTTGGGATTTAATATCATAGCCTCTGAAGAATAATTAAGGTTTTCATCTCATTTGAAATAGTTCCTTCTTTTTTTCTCTCTTGGTATCTAGAGATGACCACAAGTTGTGTTTCCGCCACAGTCTTCAACAAGGGAGGATTCCACCCCTCTTCCTACATTTCAGAAGAAATGCCTGATGCAGGGACGAGCCTGGAGGAGAAATTAGCCGGGAGTTTATTGGCTCGGATACAAAAGGAGCAGATTGAAAAGGGGGGCTGAGATGATTGTACTGCCTTTTGTGCCGCGCTGCGCAGTCACTTTGATGCTATCTCTGTCATCTGAGGCGCATGCCGCGCATTGGGCGCCTCGCACAAAAGAATATGATGCACTACCAGAGGCCTTGAAGATGTTTCTATCCATTTTCTGAAAGAGTGGGACTCTCTGTTTGAATCACCTCATCCGAGTATCGCTCATTATCAAAGGACGCCATGGCAGTAAAAGCCTGTGTAATGTATTTGATAGTGAGAGAGAGAATAAGAGAGTGGATGTAGTTAATGAAAATCTGGATCTGGATATCGGGACACAACACTAAAATTGTGCAGAATTCCATTTTCCCTCTTTCCCCTATACTCTGCTTTAATATAACCCTCAAAGTAGAGTCTGAAATGTGAGTGTGTTATAATCTAATACCTCTAATGGGTGGAAAAGGTTGACTGTCAGATCCTCACCTGCAAAGTAACAAGGTGATAATGGGAAGAATGGTTGAACCTTGATAACAGAGGAGCATGTGATGAGGCTGGGGGAAGGGGGAGGAGGAGGAGGAGGAGGAAGATCTTACAAGGCTGCCATTATCAGAGTTATTTTCACACTGAGGCGAAAAGAAAGATCTTTGAGTGGGATGGCTGAGGTCTGATCAGAACCTCCATTAGCACGGAACATAAAGGGCAGATGGAGCAGGGGCAGCCGTGTGAAGAGGGGAGCAAGGTACAGTGCGCCGGGGGGGACACTGCGCTCCGACAGGGCTCAATGAGACCCACTACACATGCAGCACTTCTGCATGGAATAAGCATGACCCCGAGGCTCGAGGGGAAAAAAACGACTGTAAACACTTGATGATAAAAGACTGCGATGCAACGTAATCACGGTAAGAACGTAGCTGTTGATGAGGGCGATTCTGAACAGCAATTAACTGCATTTATCAGCTAGAACGCAGTTTTGGCAATCAACACTTGGATGCGAGATTTCACGCCAGCAATTTTCAGTTTACTACCGAGTCAGCAAATCATTGGTGATCAACTCGCAGGCGTCACAAACGCCGCAATTACTGGATGTGTCAAGTGTAGAGGCAGGGAGGATCGTGAGAGCGTGTGAAAAATACACATCTGTGTGGATGAAAAGGAACAGCGATCACAAGTTGAGTCTAAACAACAGAGAGGTTGGTGATATGAAGGATGGGTCGTAACCTTTTTCAACCTATAGCTCTGGATTTTTAATCGTACGCGAACACACGGCCTCCATGCAAAACTTAGTTTAAGTCTTTTTCCATCAGTCTGTGGGCAAACATGATCTGATTAAATGCTGCAAACAACAGGCAGGAGTGAAAGGAGTTGGTCACTTGTTGGAGGTATTTTTTATGAACAATAAGCTCCACACTCACTAGCACATTTTATTTCCTGTGGCTACTTTAACTTGTAAGTTAAATGCTTTCAATTTGAAACTGTAAGAAATGTTCAGTTTGCATTTGCAGCAACTTAATGAGGACTTTTCTTTCGGTGAATGTCGCTCAACAGACCCAGTTTATAATAAATATTTGTATTAAAAAGAGACAGGGACCATTGTCTTACCAAACTTTGCGATAGACACTGACATTTATCGAAAAGAAAATCTTCAGATTGACATTTTAACTCGACTCATTGAAGTACTCTGTATAAATAAAGGTTGATTTAATTTAATGAGCAAAAACAGTCTCGATTACAGTGTCTTCATTTGAGTGTGAATATAAACTTCATATTTATGATCTGCAATCAATTGTATTGGAGTGTGCATCTCTAAGATTGTGTACAATCAACAAATTGTACAATAATCCATAGGATTCTGGGTCAATCCTCCTCCACTGAATTCAATTTCATGGCTTAAGTCAAGCAATGATTAAGTACGAGAGAATTCCAGCGGAATAATGGTGCATTGTACAGTAAGAGAAGTAGCAGCTTCAAACCTCCAAGGTAATGAATGAAGAATAAGACGGCAATTCCTGCTCTGCACTCGGAGGATTAGAGACATGAGGACAGCGGAGGAAGGACGAGACAGTGACTCTGATGGATACTATTGTGTGGGATAGGAACACTGAGTCCCACTGCTCTTCCTGCTGATTGATTTGAATGACTGGGGGAGGACAGGGTGGAGGAGTGAGACTAGAGGTCCTATCTGTGCTGGGGAGGTCTTATCATCCCCCTGGCTGTCTGGCCTGCAGGAGCATAGTTTATTTTGAAGAGAGGAAGTCACTGGTACACACTGTAGTGAAAAACAATGGCTGCTCCTTCGATGTCCCAAACAGAGATGGATCTCACTGGCTTTTAGGTTTGGTTCATGTGCTAAACATGTGTCATATCATCACATCATTTATTTGCTAATAACATACACATCATTTATTTCTATTGACTACCACGACAAATGATGTACTCTCTCTAATAGCACAGCAGCAGATCCCATGTGAGAGAGAGCGATATGTGTGTTCTGCCTGAATAATGTCACCTGACAGAAATGTTTTTTTTTCTCTGGGAGCGGTTAATCTGATGAATGAAAATATGGAGCCTATGCATGGATTTCTGCCTGATGGGATCCCCAACCTCCCCTGAAAGGCAATTAATCAGGGAACATAATATTGGAAACAGCAACTTGCATGACTTAGAAACTGATTACTTAACTACATACATCTAATTGTGTAAATGTCAAAATAGAATAGAATATATATATATACGCTGGAGACCTGTCCAGGGTGTACCCCGCCTCTCACCCAGTGCCAGTTGGGATTGGGTTCAGATCCCTATGCGACAAAGATAGTGGATGGATGGAAGAACAGAATAGAATACAATAGAACAGTCAGCTGGGATTGACTCCAGCAGACCCTGCAACCCTCAGAGGATAAGCAGTAAAAATAATGGATGGATGGATAGAATAGAACAGAATAGAATAGAACAGTCAGCTGGGATTGTTTCCAGCTCCCTGTGCGACAAAGAGAATGGATGGATGGAATGATAGAGTAGAATAGAATAGACTCGCTGGGCTTACTGATGTGTACAGGTGGCCTTCCCCGTTCATGGCGATGTATAACCCTGTCTTCACGGACTGAATGGCGACAACTCTGAGGCCCACAGGAATAAGGTTGAACAAAGCTGAAAAACAAAGTGAACAGGCAAACACACACGGTACATAAAATATAGAATATATAGAATGAAAGACCATCACCATTTATAGAGCTAAGAACATTTAATACACTGGGGGGGGGGCAGGGCACGTCATGTTGTGATGCATCGTCCGAGCGCACGCTGCCCGTCATTAATGCTTCACAGAGCATAGTTAATACAGTAGCTATAGCTGTTGCATTGAGGTAATCTGTGGAGATGAATTGCAGCGCGGCCGGCGAACGTGACCAGCCTTGCATGGCCTGGGTCACCCAGAGCTTCTTGAGGAGTGGCTATAATTGAGGCCACCAGTGGTGCATGGCAGATTTAATGGGCCTTTTGCTGTTGTAACAGACTCCTTGGGCCTGGAATGGTAATGGATATTGTTTGTACTGGTGAGAAACAACAGAATTGGCCTGGCTGTGACATAAGTGTGTGTGTGTATGGAAGAATTAGGTAATGACCTCCACTGACCCTTTAAGTGATTTGAGCATAAGTGAAGGCTAAGAGAACCACTGTTTGGGATAAGTTGAAATGTAAAATGTATTGTGGAGACGTCAGCGTCTACACTTGAAATGATATTGGGAGTTTTAATAATACACGATGTATCCCTCGTGCACACTATGTGTAACCCCACTGTTTCAATAAGTCCCGCCCTTAAGCGTATCACATTTGACATGTGCCACATCTCCTCACGCTGACAGGAGTAAGTGACACAATGTAGAGTGTCAGACCAGCCTTAGCACCGAGCACAGGAATCAAATTAAACACCTTGCCTGAAGCACTGGAGGAGCGGTGCCAGAACAAGCTAATAATACCTTTTCCTCCCTGTTAGGCCTACTGTTTCCTGGTCCACTTTCTCTCTCCGAGCGGAGGACAAACCTGTGAGAGCCCATAGCTGCAATTTAAGAAGAGCCGTCCGATCCAAACAATGAAATATGAGGGGGGCAATTGGCCTTGAGGTTGGAGAAAGTTACCTACAGGGTCGCTGGTTCATTTTCCTGCAAGCGAAGAATAAATCTAGACCAGGAAAACCTCTCTGACTTGTACTGTGGATTGTTTGTATGAAGCAGGATGCAACTGGTAAAAACCTTTGTGCTAAAGGTATAATTATAAATAAGTGTGAAATGATATATTCTAGATACTCACAGGAATTACTGCTGTCATCCTTGGTCCCATCAAGAGAGCCATCGGGATTCATTTGCAAGTAGTATCCCTGCCTGCAATATAACCTGGTCACTATACCCTTGAGCTGGGGATCTGCAGGGAACAGAAAGAAAGAAAGAACAGAGTGGACAGTTAGCATTGACCACAATGATGAAACACTTGTGCTGCCACATTGTTTCTTCGCAACAAAACACCTCGAAATGCTGCAGAACCAGCAGCACTTTCTGATTCCTGTGTATGTTCACAGGCGAATCCCACAGCCAACTTCCTGGGCACATAAGCCCCCGCCAGGCTCAGAGATAGGCCATCCAATTATAGGCAGCAGAATTAATCTGCGGTCGCCCGACTCCCATAATGAACCCAACAGCACCCTCTCTGGGTTCTCGGTGTGCAGGATGTGAGGAGTGTCTCTGCTCTGCCCCGTCTAGCTGACCCAACATGGGAATTAGCCACATATCTCCTGTAAATAAATAACCGCTACTGTTAAATTGCCCAGCGCCGCGACGGCTCAACCAGTCATGTTCTGATTTAATTGGCATTTTGTGGGTTTGTAATAACAGCAAGAAAAGTGAAAATATACAACAACAACAAAAAGGGAGTCGAAAACATTTTAATAAACCTGCATGTGATCGCACTTTGGGATGTCACTGGAAAGATATTACTTGTGCTCAAGCTGTGCGACAATATTTCTCCCTCTGCATGTGTGTGTGTGTGTGTGTGTGTGCATGGGCAACCACTGGGGTCATATACCATCAACATTAGTCTTATTGTGGAGACAGCCATCACACCAGATTTCATTCTCAGAAAGCCCCGGAGAGGTGAACAATCAACTTCACCTGAGCCTAAACCGTGGCCCCTTGCAAGCCTGTGTGTGCAAGAGAGAGAGACACGCAGAGAGAGAAAAGGAGAAATAAGAGAGAGGGAGAGAACGGCCACAGAGGAAAACTCAAGAGGTCTTGCTAAGGGCAGAGAGAGATATTTTTTTTCCTATCGGTGTACTGCTCAAGGCAGAGTGTGTCGGGTGATGGCATTAGAGGCTCTGAGACCTTTACAGCCTGAGAACAGGAGGAAATGTCCTGTTGAATTAAGACATTGCTACTATTCAAGCAGCAGTTCTTTGTCTCACCAGGACAATAAAAAGGTGGTGAAGGCACATCACTGACAGAGAACCTCAGCTACAGGCATCAAGTCGGCTGAAAGCAGCTCTCTGGTTTATAATAATACTTAAAGCATCAAAACTGGAGCAGCAAGACACACCTGTCAGACGCAGACGTGATCCGTGCTCCATTTGTTGGCTTCAATATCTGATGAACTTACACTTTCTAACATTCAAATGGAAACTATCTTTGAGTAAATGAGATACAACAGATATCCTGTTATTGTCCTGACAAAATTATCCCCCTACAACTTCACAGCTGTTGTTCCTGAAACTTTTTATGCTCATGCTCTTACCGCACATGAGCCGAATCTTTGGCCAGAAGTTAGTGAGCGATCACAGGAGAGTCGGCTTCCCTGCAGCCTGTTGTTGCTGGTGTTTGCAGGATTACCAACCCCAACTTTAAACTGTAAAAATCTAATTCTTTCTTATTTCTTTTTTTAAATAATTTATTGATTGACTATGGAAGCTCAACAAATCACCAAATCAAGATAAATACTAGTCATGAAATAATCTAATAAAACCAAAATTTCATATAAAATATTATAAAATGTTCAAATTTTCACTCATATGGAACAAAGAAATATGAACACATTTCACATTTGATCTGAAATCAACTGCTCTGAATTTTTACTTGAGAAATGACTTGAAGAGTTTTGTAATATCACAAAAACCTTAAATTAACATTTAATTTTAAGTGTAAAAAAGGAAAAGACAGGGATGTGATTGTGTGGGTGAACATTGAGATGCTGATTAAAATTAAAATCTCTGCTTTTGCTTAAACCCAGCAACAATTTCTTAATTTTCTTTCATTCGATTAATCAATGAATCCACAAACTGTTTCAGTTCTTCATTAACAAGACTCTTCATCTGTGTTGCATTAAAGACAGAGTTCTAATGCTCAATTCATTTTACTGCATCACTCTGTAGCTCTCTCTCTTTTCATTATTAGTTTGTCTTCCAGTCACGCTCACTACAAAACAGCTGAATGCATTCACTAACTACGCTTACAAACAGCACATGAGCATCACTAATCAAATCCCACACCGAATAACCTCAGGGCCACACCCTTATCTCCCTCCACCCAGTGACGGTGGAGATGGGCGAGTTTTCATGCAGCAGGGAGACACGTGCACGAGCAGCTCACAGACATTTTCATATGGATTTTTAATGAGCGCACAATTCTCCAGAGCAAATACTCTTACACACAAAGGCGCCTAACCTACGATCGATTAACGACTTTTATCTGCAGCATTTAAACAAGGTGGGGGAGTGAGATTGATTCTGAAGACAGATCAGTGGGAGTCAATCTGGAAGAATTAAAATGGTATAACTGCTCGCTGGCCATGTGAATACTATATCTGAGTGTGTGTGTGTGTGTGTGTAGGTGAACTTAGCTCCTACGTGCTATAAATCATTTGATGTTAGCTGTGTTCCCTAGGGCGAGCCAGCCAGTATCACACACACACACACACACACACACACACACACACACACAGAGAGATTCCCCCTTCAGCATCTCCTCTGAGCTGCAGCGAGAGTGAGGCGAGAATCTGTAGATTTTCAAGTAATTTATCAAAATTGAATAACCGACAGGAAAAAACACATAAAGCAATGAGAGAACGTACGAGATAAGTATCTATGATTTATGATCGTTCACATATGAGACGTATATTCATTCATTCACATCCTTAAATACCAGGGACATCATTTACGACTGACACTTTAACATAACACATTCATATATGCCAGTGAATACATTATCATGACATAATTGCTTGTGTGATTTTTTACAAAGCTGCCAAACCCATTCATACAAATCAAGCTGAAGGTCAAACTCACTCATGGCCACTGGATAAAATGTTTCATATAGATAAGATGAAACTAATTCCCTTACAAGAAAACATTCCTTATCTCTCATAATATAATTATATACATTTTATGATACTGGAGTGGCTCATGACACTCCCCTTCAATTAAATTTATCGGACCACTAAAGTTTTTCAATCAAGACTCAGATATAATTCTCGGAGAAATCAATGCAAATGGAAAATGCAAAAAGTGGGAAAAAAAGAGGATTCCTGAATCTGCCCTCAGATTTGGATCTGCAACTAAATCTAACACAAGCTGCCCCCCCTCCACCAACTACCACGGTAATCTAATAGTTTTTGTGTAATCTTGCTAAATAACAAACGCTAATGTAAATAACTTTCTTGACGGAGGAAATGTGTCAGACAATGAGGAAGATGTTATATGCAAAGCAATGGAGAAAGGCTCTGTGCTTTATGAATGACTACATTTCCAGTTCTATCGCACAAGCTTGATGCTTTTTAAAATCCACATCTGCTTTGAAACTGTCTCGGTGGGATTCCCTGAGTTGAGCAGGTCTTTGACTCGTCTTTCTCTTGTGACCTCTTTGTCTCTTTCACCTCGTCTATCTGGATATTCACTTTTTATAATAAGTAAAAAAAAAAGCATCGACCCTCCGCTGCTGTTGGACTTTCCCCGTCGCACCAGTGTTTTTGGTTTTTTTTTAACAACAGAAGCGCTGCATGTTCCTCCACAACACTTCTGCGTTTCTAGGGAAACTGAGGTGGTTTGGCAGCANTTTTAATGACAGCTGAGAGGATTCCAGAGATTTAATAGGAAATTGTGACTGTCGCTCAAAGGATGTGGGATTATTTGACCGAAAAAAAAGGGGGGTCCTGAGAGAAGTGTCAGAACCATAAGATCTCAAATTGTGTTGTTCTGCAGCAGACGTCCCCTCTGCATATAAACTCAACTGCCACCAGACGGTTGAGATTTCATTTTCTTTCTCCCCAAAGCGACACAAAAGCTCCCTCATTCCCTTCCTGTTTTAATATCTGTTTCTGCCATTCCTCTGCTTATGTGTGTGTGAGCATGTGCAAAGACACATGTCCTGCTCAGAGCAAAACAAACAGAAGAGGGGCACAGCTGCAGCAGCAGTTGGAGGCTGTTGTCATGCCATCACCTGCTTGACCCACTTCGGATGTTTCTGGAATAGGACAAGGGCTTTTCCGGCCTGCAGAGGAAAAACCCCTGCATGTTGCTTCTGTTGTCATGGGAAACCACAGTGCTGGCGCTCCGTTCTCATTTCACGTACATCAACATCTCTGACATTTTCAACAATAACTCATCGGATGCAGACAGCTCTGAAAGCTGACTGATGAGGCACCGCTGTGTCCTGTCAACACACACGGCAATAAATAGCCACAGAGCAACAAAGCTATAACCTCAAATGGGTTTCTAGATCGCGAAAGATAATCTAATTGTCTGATCTGTGTAACATGATCCAATGATCTACGGATCTAATCTGGTGAGATAATTAGAGCCAGAGCAGTGAGATTATGGCCGAGCCCAAGCTGAATGTGGCCCCAGCTCACTTCACTGGGTTTGAGTTTAATAGGATTTACGACTCAAATCTAATCCCTCAAAAAAAGAAAATCTGTGTGATCACTTGCTTTTCCATCTGTCATCGAAACAAACACAACATGGATGATTTAGAGAAACACAAATATTCCCTCAAGTGTTGGAGGTCAGGAAAACACATCTGTGCACACAACACTTTCAATTTTTGATGTTTCCGCTAAACTATAAATATTCTGTTTTCATAAAAGACACTTTATTTATTCAGGTGAACTCTTGGACGTCTCGAGCACTGAGATCGACCAACCTGATGCTTCTGCAGGTCCCAAGATCAAGGCTGGAAAATAAAGGTGACTAGGGTTTATCTGCAGCAGCTGCTCCTAGTCACTGGAATAGTTCACCTTTAAAGTTGTATCAGAACTTCTCGGATCCTACAAAGGATTGAATTATTGCTAAAGATCCACTTTAAAGGCACCAGAATTTACTGAGAGGGGCCAATTCCATGTCCAACATCCGTGCACAACACCTGAGTAAGGAACACACCAATGAATCAATATTTTATAAAACAAAGTTCCTTATTTAAGCAAATTGTGTTCTTTAAAAAGCTTAGATTTTGATTTCATCTGCTGTTGTGCACAATTCAAACATCTCAAATATCTTTCACATTTGTTTTGACATATATGTTGTATATTCTTTCATTGGAAGCCTGTTCAGCAGCTTGATTAACTCTGGTTGTTTTAAATAAACTTTGGCTTTCAATACTAAATTAGATAGAATTAGGATTGTTAGTGTTGATTGATGATAGTTACTGAAACACTTTCTTTGAATTAGACTCAAATGATCAGGCTCAAAAGCCCAATTCATGTCAGTGTCAATCAATGCGGCCGTAAGAATAGCTAATCTGGAGCCTGGCTCGGAGGATCGATGCTCAAAGCCAAAGGGAATACTGGTGTTAGAGTACATTTCAGACACCTGCACTCCGTCATCCTGACACACCTCAGTGGGCATCTGAATCTGACTTCAATACATAATGCTTGGAGAGCTGCTCTGCTCTCTGAAGGCTCAGGGAAACCCAGCATCCGTCTCACCTCCAAGACAACTGGGGCCGTCCGTCTGTTTTATCACAATATCTGATCGGTTGTGTATTTGCTTGAAAAAAAGCTCTTCTGGAGTCAAATATTACATTAAGCAGAGGGAGGAAGAGAAAAGGAGGGAGAAGGAAAGTGGGTGAGGAGAGAAATAGTGGTATGTGCAGTACTTCCCAATCACTCCCCGAACAGCAAAGTCTGATATCACTTGGTAAAAGATCATTCATAATTCTCATTTGAGGCTGAAATTAATGAAGTTTATTCCCATTAGGCCTTTAATCACAAATAACTAAGCCACTAGAAAACAGTTTGATCTGATTAGAGCTTCAAAATGAGGGCAGAATACTCATTTCAAATTCATTTCAGACTGATTTTTAATTATATCTATATATTAGTAAGTGTTTTGGATCTTCTAGGCACCAGGATCATGCTTCTGAAGCCTAAAGACAGTGTTACAGTGGATTCTTATTGTTCAGGGGATCTGGAAGCCCCCATGTTGCTCTGTGAAATGGCCGTTACAGGCGAGATGTTGTACATTTCAGGATGACATGGTATCCAAGGAATACTGAAATATAGACATACAAGTATTTGGCTTTTTGTTCTATTGGCACAGCCAGACATTAATTCCTTGGACAAATGACGCCATAATCTGTCGGCATCTGTGATCTGTGGGGGGCTACTGGACACAAGTGTCGATTTCAAATGAGCCCAACGCAGAGGTGACACAGAGGGACGGACGAGGTTTGAGCGCACGCACACATTGGGCAGAAGCAGCAGCCTGGAGGACGACCGATTTAAACCTGCCATTCTGATGCACCCTGACCCACGTCCAGATGTGTCCTCTATGTGCCGGTATACAGACCCTGTCCTTTCAAAGCCATTTAATCCATGTAATCACTGGGGGCTGGTGAAGGGGACATTTCATAGTGTTGTGAACACAGAGGATGAGAGAGACTCATCAAAATGGCTCTCTTTGTGAACGAGATGAAAGACTAAAACACTGAAACACTGCTTCCAGCAACAAGTAAATCATGTTTAAGATCTTAATTTATCATACAATTATAAAAGATGAAAACTGTTTGATCAGAGTTATATCTGGTTGTCCTGGTGCAACAGGTTTGATACCTGGTGATTCCAACAGTAACCTTCATCAGCCACTAACAAGAGGAAACAATTAAGAGTCAGTTCTTTCCTAAAGGAATTATCCTCAATTTAGAAGAATTATCTTTTTAGATGGCTCTGATTCCATAATTGTTGACATTGCACTTTAACAACCACAGGCTGCCACAATATAGAAGTAAAAATGTTCATGACATTTCTAAGTGGGGGAAATATCAGCTGGAGCCAGAAGAGGCCACTGGCCCCTGGATTCGTAAAAATTATGTGAGAAAAAGATTACGTTTGAAAGACGTAACCTCCATTCCGTGGGAGATATTGACCTTATTGCTTGCATAAGAATGAGTTTTCATTTCGTTTCTCTTGTGCCGTGGTAATAATGTAAAGAGCAGTTCAGCCAGTCGTGTATGTGCTTCATAACGATCAGGCCTTTTTTCTGCCTGTTAGGTGAACGTGTCTAAACCATTCGGTACAACTCGTCAGGAGCCTGTCTGATACCTGGAGCTGCGTGTAAATGAGATACAGGTCGGATATTTTCAATCACCTGGCTAAGGAAGGAAAAACAAGATCCGTTTTACGCACAATTTAACTTTTTACGCGCAGATGAAAGAGTTTAATTCGTGGCATTATTGCCTCATAGCTTAAACCATATATGCGGGAATGTAATTATGACACTTGGTCTAACCAAGCGATCAACCAGTGGTTGGGTGGATGCACATGCTTACACCTCGCACACTTAAGTTCCCACACCTTGTCTCCGTAGTCTCCGCTTCCTGAGTCCGAAGATGCGCACTTTAGAGAAGATGTCGACCAGGTTCCCATTGCAGAGCCCCTTGTTCTTGTTGGGGCTCTTCCTCCGTCGGTTGGTGGAGGGCCGGTCCAAATGCTGCTCCCGCGCCTGCCTCTTCTGCCGGATCAGCCCACTCGCGATAGCAGCAGCCATGGCTCAAAATGTCACAACTGCTCTGGTCCAGTCTGCACACGGAGCACAGACTACACACAAACAGCCGCCTCTCACTGCTCGCAGCCCGGGTCACAGTCCCATGGTGGCGGCTGAGTGATCCGTTCCGCGATGTCAAATGTCAAATATATATATTTGTTTTCTAGGAGCTGGTTTTCTGTTCTGTCCAAACACTACATGATACACGTGAGATTGAAAGAGCCGTCATCGTCACTCGAAAAATTCTTGTACATGATGGAAAAAATGTGAGATCAGTTCGTGCGTAATTCCATACATGCATCTGCAACCATTGTCCCGATGGAAACCTTACGCCAAACTCAAGCGGAGCGAGAATTCAGAGGTTCATCCATACCTGCAAAGTGATGTTTCTGTTCATAGTCTGTGACACAGTAGCCTCCTTAAATGTCCAACACCGGCTGCAGCGTCCTCTCGGCGCATTCAGCCACTCTTTCCTCCTTCTACCCTGCGTTTTCTTCTCCTTCAGCCAGACGCGTCTGCTCTGTCAGTGTGTGGCGGTGTGGAGACGCCTGTGCAAAAAAAACATACAGCCTCCCCCTACGAAGATCGCCACCGGAGAGGACGCAACACCAGCCCGGGCGAAGTCCAAGTTTGCGAGAGGCAATCCGCGACAGGGTTCCCCCGCGACGACCGGTCAACAGACACACATTTGCAGATGCAATGACATACGCAGCCGTGTGATTATAAATCGATGCACTGCGATGAATTAATGCAAAGTTGCACTTTAAAAAAAACTCCGTTGGATTATATCCTTAACATGTAATTTCTCCTTCCTCTTGCAGTCACAACAGAGGCGGGTGGGCGCGATGGGAGTCAGGGAGAAGCGGAGAAAAGCAACACCACAGAACCAAAGCTGATTCTGGATCCTGTGCAGATGACGTCTGCATTGTGTGACAAGCTGAATACAAATAAATATAAACTTAAACCCCCCGGCGATCGACACACACCTCGACCCAGTGGATTTTCATCCAGGGGCTGTGGGGTGTGTGGCGATCGGTGCGTAAAAAGGATAAAACGCGGCTCAATTCATTTTCCCACGCTCAAATCTCGAATAAAAAAGCCAAGAGGAAGTGGTGGCCACTTGCTTCACTCTATATACCCCCGATCAACGCATCCTTCCCATCAACAAGTCCTAACCAGTCGTTAGTGCACGCCTGAGAGAGGAGAAGGAGAAGGCGAAGGAGGAGGAGGAGGAGGAGGAGGAGGACCCCCCCACGACCCATCCCCACTCCCTCCCTTTCGACCACCAAGCCCCCGCTTGGAGGGGAACGATCAGCGGCTCTGAATGCTGCCATCAGACGGTGAGATGTGCGTTATTATCAAAAGCTTCCATTTGGGCTCCAGGGTGCATTTACTTTAGGATCAGACATGAAATCTGAACCCGACCTGACAGAATCTTCACATTTCACCTCACCACCACAGTCACATCTGTACAGCATGAACACAAACATGATGTCAGTGTGTTATTAGAACTATTCTCACTCCCATGAGATGAGGAAGCACATTCACGTTATTTCAACGAGGAGCCCGTGAGGCTGCACGCGAGCTCCATGTGCGCTTCGTGGCTCTAGCTCCACGGACAACGACGGAGGGAATCACAACCTCCACCTGCGCGTAAAGTCCACACCTCAACCTGCAGGATGTCCCTATAGTGAGCCACATGTGACTCAATCCTCCCCTCAACCCATCACCTCTGTGTCCACTTCTAAAGCTGAATTTGACCAACGTGGTTCAACACAATGAAACACAACAAAATGACAGAACAATACCGGATCCCTTCCCTCGCTCCGGGGTGAATATCTGTCTCAATCACAGGCACAAGGAATTAAAACTCAAGAGAGCCATCTGCTGTTTGTGGTTGTAATTAAACATTTGGTGCTGGTATGTGGGAGTGCAGTTGGTTGTATCCGTCCTCTGGATGTGTGTGTGGATCCCCTTCACATGCACCTGTTGATATCCTGTTGTATGAAATCACCAAAAAGGATGAGTGGAATTTGCAGATAAGCAGCATGTTATGTTATTATGTTTCCATAATAACTGTGGGTCAACAGAATCAAATAATCAGCTGAATTGATGTTATGCAAAACAGTGAGAGACATGACTGTGTTGTCCCCACATGTGCCTGAAGACATATTTTATAGAATTAAAACATATTCAGAACAAATAAATAATGGTATTTTAAAATGTGTTCTCAAGGGTTTATAGGGTGCCAACAATCCTCCTCATATAAAATCAGCTATTTGCGCCAGTGAGGTGCCTACGTGCCGTGCATGGAGACAGAGTTTTTACATCCCATGGCTGCAGAGGAGCCTCTCATCCTCCTCCCGCTCCCCGATCCGTGGTGCTGTGAGAGTCACTGCAGTTAACGCTCCAGCCAGCAGCGGACACTGTCAGCTCAACAATGGTTCCCTCAGCCACGAGTCGCACAGCAGCACTGTCACAGCCACTGTTCTGAGTCAGAGGCAGGTCTCTATTTTGCTCACAGACACATGCAGGTTTGAGGATGTTGCATTTGTTTCCAGCTCACAGGAAACTGAAGGATAACAGATTTTTATTGTTGCGACCGTACATCACTACAAACCTGCTGCTGCAGGTGAGAACCAAAGAAAACTGGGGATGATCCTGAAAAGGGGAAGGGAGGAAACAGGAGCCTTTACACTGCAGAGTTTCCCTTTTCATCTTAACACAGCATGAGGCTGAATAAGGTTGAATGCACGGATGGTCAGACAAGCTCCTCACACATATCAGACACGCAACTGCAAAATTTCTTTTCACAGCATGCACAGGAGCAGCAAAAATAATCTAGCAGTTTAATCCACCACACTGGTTTCCTATAAAGCTCAACACAGCGCAGGGTGTAAAAAAAAAGCACATCACAACCCTGTTACACATTCATTCATGAAGCAAAACAAGTACGCACATACCTACATTTTTTTTCCTCCTACACGTAAATGTATGAGAGTCCATGGCGATCTCATTCCAAAGCACTATAAACCAAGACCTTTTCCTGTGACTCCTAATGCTGGATTTATACTGCCCCTTCCAGGTCTAACATGGTTACGGTGAACTGACAGTCTGCCCCGAGCTGTCCATCCATCCATTCTTTACGTTGGGTCCCAGAGAGAGGCAGTGAGATGAACACACTTGGACATTTCACCTGAGACAAATGAAACAGGACTAAATGTTGCCTGAGGTTGTAATTTGCAAGAAATTAGCCAAGTTACTAAGAAGATGCTTCTAAGTTTCTACTCCGCTGTTATGAATACATTCTTTACACTGAATATCACAGACTTTAATATCATGCACACTTGACCTGAATTAAAACATGGCAACCAAAATGCAGAAAGATTCAGTGAAGGATTTGACGCAGACTTGAAGCCAAAGCCTCATCAGGTCAGAAGATGTTAATCCAATCGTCTCTGAGGAAATTACATTATTGTAAGTTGGACGTCCCGCTGCAGAGGCAAAGCAAATGTCACCCAATGGAACTGGGACAAACAACTCATTTGATTATTGCTGTAACTTTGCCCCGGGGCCATGTTCTCTTATCACCCGTCCTGATAAAACAATCGGCGGGACTCAGCACTTCACAGGCCCAGTGAAATACAAGAAGTTCAACGTGCTACAATCAAATTAAACCGTGCTATCAAAAGACAGGGAATTCATTTAATTTGAGATGAGTAATGATTTTGCGTAGCTGGGATTTGTGACATTTTCTTTTCTCCCCTTGTCTTCCATCCTTCCCCGGGCTTTGGCAGTTTAATCATTGAATATCACGAGTCTCACGAGGGCCCTGATTATGGACTGTGTATGTAAGGGTCTCATTTGTTTTGACGAGTCTCATAGTTGGAGCTAATCAAGGAGTCCAGATAGACGAGTGAGCATCGAGAGCTTGTAAAGGGGGGAATGAAAATGGAAAGCTTGTGTTAAGTGCTCCTGAATAAAGAGCGCACGGTGAGGCCCTTGAGGTGGAGAGCATCACAACGACCAGGAGTGGAACAGATTCATGTTCTGGTGGGGGATCGTTTATATCTGTAGCTTTCATAAGATTCTTTAATGAGTCATTGCACAAAACATTTTTGGGTCGATAACTCATCTAAAAGGAAGCATTTGAGCTTCGGCAAAGAGGTGGGACAAGATAATGCACAGTTACTTCAAGTGAAACAAAAGGGATTAAGATGGGATTTGAAATATTAAATGTGGGAGACCTGAAAGTAAAAGTGCTTTGCACATGGGGAGCAGCGATGTGAAAAGTGTCACTGGGAGCTTATCACTGGATTTGAGAGATCTGAGAGTAGAACAGAGGATAAGATGGAGCCTGCCCGTCCAGTGTCTGTAAAATACTCTTTCTACACTTTATTCTGGCACATTTAAAAGACTGTCCATCCAGCCGCTTATTCTTTGAATGTCGCAGGAGATCTGGAGCCCGCTGCAGCTGACATTGTGCCAGAGGTGGGGCTCAGGTCGCCAGTCCACTACAGAGAAAAACAACCATGCACACTCACATTCACACTTTCGGTTAGTTTCCCTAAGCTGCACGTCTTTGGACTGAGAAAGTCGAAGTTCCTGGAGAGAGTCCATGCAGGCACAGTGAGGACATGCAGGCTGGTTCAAACCCAAAACCAGAGCTCAGAGAGACACTGCTAACCACTGCACCACCCTGGATATAAAGTATCACACACATTTTTTTTTTTAAATTAATTTTCACTAACCCAAATCTTAACACCACCATAAACTCTGCGGTTTTAAAGTTTTTAAATTTGAATAAATTGAAAGAGATTTCGAAAATAGCTTTTGTGATAATACAGAAGTTAATTCAAATCTATTTTATTCGTAAAGCGCATAATCATAACACACATTATCTCAGGTCACTGTGAGGTCGAGACCTTTCAAAACTACAGAGAAACCGAGCAGTTCCCACAACGAACAAACACTCGGACATCGAATACCAAACAGCCCTTTAGACAGAATTCCTTGTATACAATCTGTCACCACTCTAGTAGGTTTGTCTGAGCAGTGTGT